TGAGGGTTTTAGAGGGGAGGGGGGTGGGGGGATGGGTTAGCCTGGTGATGGGTATTAAGGAGGGCACATATTGCATGGAGCACTGGGTGTTATATCCAAACAATGAATCATGGAACACTACATCAAAAACTAATGATGTACTGTATGGTGACTAACATAACATGATAAAATTAAATTAAAAAATGTAAATAAATTTGGAATATTAAAAAATAAATCTGTTTATGCCTTTCCCAATTTACATGCTATTATTGTGCAACATTTTCATTCTGTCCTTTTTTTAAACACCACTAATTAAAAATTATTAATTTTTAAGCAAAGTTTATTTAAATTTACCTATAGATTTAGCAACTTAATTGCAGCTTAATCCATTCCTTTGTTGTTATTTAATAGAGGCATATATGGTTAATTTTATGTGTCATCTTGACTGGGTTACAGGATGCCCACATATTTGGCTAAACATTATTTCTGGGTATGTTTGTATGGGTATTTCTGGATGAGATTATCATTTGAATTGGTCTATTTTTAGTAAATTCTTAGATTTTTACATGAAAATAATCTTTTTTCATAATTTTTCTTCAAAGATAGTATTCCTGAGTACTCAATTAGAGGCTGATTTTTATTTTTTCATAAAGAGAGTATTCCTTTATCTTAATTCCCATCTTTGCTTAAAAGGCTTCCTACAGTCTAGCAGTTTTATTGGTGATTTGTCCTTTATTTCTGTCTGCTTTAAGATTTTCTTTTTGTCTTTGGTGTTTTTATGTTTTATTCATATATGTCTAGTTGTGGATTTTTATTTACTTATTTACATGCCTTCTGCATTCCCTGCTTCCTATCTGTTTTCCATTTGTTCTGAAAAGTTCGCAGTCTTGATCTCTTCAAATGTTATTTTTCTTTTTTTATGTTCTCTTTGTGGGACTCAGGTTAGAGACGTATGATGCCTTCTCTATATATACTCTATTTCTCTTTTAAATGTGCTGCATTCTAGGTTATTCAGACTTTCATATTTATTTTATATTATGTGACTGATAATTTCAATATCTAAAGTCCATATAATTATCAATGTTTTTACTGTTGTTTTTGCTCACTTTTACTCCTGAGAGCAAGATTCTGTGTGTGTTTGATAATCTTTGATTGTCAACTGATATTTTCTTTTTTTTTTAAGTATTTTATTTACTTATTTATTTTCAGAAAGAGAGGGAGAGAGCACAAGCAGGGGGAGCAGCAGGTAGAGGGAGAAGCAGGCTCCCCACTGAGCAAGGAGCCCAATGTGGGACTTGATCCCAGGGCCCTGGGATTATGACCTGAGCCAAAGGCAGATGCTTAACCAGCTGAGCCACCCAGGTGACCCTCAACTGATATTTTCTTGATATGTGAGAATACTGATGGTCTATTTTTTTTTTTTTTTTGTAAGAGAGAGAATATTTTCATTTAATTCTGCTAAGTTCCAGAAGCCAATACTATGCCATGGAAAGTTTCAGAAAGTTCCAAGTGCCCCAATAGTTAGATAAAGTGGTGGTAAAAAATAAACCTTGAATTTTAATGGCTTATGATGGTATTTGTAATTATTTTTATATATAAAAATATAGATACGCAAAATACAGGCATACAAAGTATCATATTTGTATTTAGAATGTACAAAAAGGACAAAAAAAATTAAACAAATTTTGTTTTGTAATATGTTTATATAACTATATTATATTTGTCTATATTATTTCTCACTCATACTGTTTGTTTTTAATGGGCAACTCACTGACTGACTACAGTATATCTTGTTCTTACCTCAAGATCTAGGCCATCTGGAATGCTGCTAGTCACTAGGAAAGAGGGAAAGCTATCTAGCTAATTGTATATAATTTCTGAAAGCTTCTTCCTAGAGATCACACAAATCACTTCAACTCTCATTTTATTGTCCAAAGCAGGTTCCATGGATGTATTTCATATAAAAAACTGAAGTGTGCTTCCAACATCCTCCTTTCATTACTTCTTGATTTTGTTAGGTTTAACGTTTATTCTATGGTTCTAAGATTTACACTGAATTTCATAACTAATTTTTCCATTTTCTTCAAATCTTAGTTTTATATCTGAGTGGATTTCTTTTTTTACCACCAGTGCTTTCCAACTGTGGCTTCTCAGTTATTCAGATCTTAATTTTGATTCATCTCTTTTTTCCCTTGCATTTCATAATCAAAATTTTAAGACAGGCTTTTGGACTCTATTTCATGGTTTCCTGCATATTCATGAATTTATTTCTTTTATACTAAAATGTCAACTTAACTGAATAAAAAGTCTTGAGTCACGCTTCTTTTTCATATGTACTTCATAAATATTTCACTCATTTTTAACATAGGATCCTGTGCAAATGCCTAATGTCATTCATATTTTTCTTTTTTGCATGATTTGTCCCCTGGATGCCAATAAGATGCTTTTAATTTTTTTTAAGGTTTTATTTATTTATTTGAGAGAGAGAGATAGAGAGAACACAAGCAGGGGGAGGGGCAGGCAGAGGGAGAGGGAGAAGCAGGCTCCTCCCTGGGCTGGATCCCAGGACTCTGGGATCATGACCAGAGCCAAAGCGGATGCTTAATGACTAAGCCACCTAAACCTTTGGATTTTTAAATATGTGTTCTATGTGCATGTATTACTGTGTTCTGTTCTCATAATTGGTATTACTGAATATATGTTCTGTTCTCATATTTAGTAACAACAATTATGCATATATTGTATTTCCTTTCTCTTTAATATCTATGATTTGATCTCTGTTTTATTTAGTCTTTCTTTATTCAACTTGTATTTGATTCTCTCACGTTTGTTCTTATGTCCCAAAATATAGAATACAAATGTGTATGTATATATGTATACACTGTTTCTAATGTTGATTTCTATAATTGTTTTTTTTGTAAGATTTTATTTATTTATTTGACAAAGAGAGAGAGAGCACAAGTAGGCAGAGAGGCAGGCAGAGGGAGAGGGAGAAGCAGGCTCCCCACGGAGCAGGGAGCCCGATGCAGGGCTGGGTCCCAGGACCCTGGGATCATGACCTGAGCCGAAGGCAGTGGTCCAACCAACTGAGCCACCCAGGTGCCCCTGTAATTGTTTTATGTCACATTTTTTTCTGAGTCTGTGATCTTATTTCACATTTCTAGTCTTACTAATTTTTTTCTTCATTTTTTTAAAATTCATTTGAACTCAAGAAGACTCGATTAATTAGAAACTAGCTGCTGATTCATGGTAACTTTCTTCTAGTCTTATTTTCTTTATAAGCTTTTCTCTTCTTGCATTTCTCTTTTCCTACTCATTTAATTTTTTATTTGTGTATGTCATTTATTTCTGATTTTTTACTAATTTTAAATGGGGCATGTGTACCTGGTTCAGATATGTGCTGAAATTAATTATGGATGAGAGGTGAAAGCTGAAGTGCCAGAAGTTTAGGACACACTTTCACCATCTCTGTTTTGTCATCTCCTCGAGGGAAGTCTCCTCTCATTATTTACCTTTCTCATGTCTTGAGCAGAAAGTCTTCAGAGTTTTCACAGGAAAGCCCTATGCTCCAGGTGTCTATGATATATTTAGCAGCTATTTATTTTTGCCTGGCTTTGATTAGCTATCACCAAATGACTCTCTTCTTGTCCACTTTCTGAAAAGATGACATATCTACGTAGCTTCTTATTCAGCCTTCCCTCCCTCATCAGCCTTGCTTTAGAGCACCTGTATTCCACTCACACCTTCCAAGTAAGGTTTCCATGATCCTTTCAGAGCTGTGTCATCTACTTTGAGGGAACTCTGCACTATTTAAAGTATCTCTAGAACTTTGTACTTGCTCCTGACACCTTCTGCCATTTTGGTCCCAATAATTTTTTTTTTAAATTTCTATTTGGAGACTGTGATTTGGGCTGTGACTGTCCCCATGTCTCATTGAAGATATAGCAGCCTTCATTTTTTATATTTGATTGTTGTTTCATTTGCCATTTAGAAGAAAACGGATAAAACTACGGAAGGGAAGAATGCTTAGTTTACTGAAGTTGGATAAAACTGGTCAGTAAAAATATTTCTAATTGCTTATCTTTTAAAGCCTGTTATTATTATAAAATGTTTTACATTTTTCTATGAGATCAGATGGTATGATGCTTTGTGGTGAGTGTATAATTACTGCAGAATGCAAAATTTGGGACCTGAACATGGAATACTGGTACATGCCAAGAATTTGAAAATTAACATCCAAACAGCAGTGGAATTTGCTGAAAAACAAAATGTAAAGTTGTTATATCACTTAGTTTTATTAGGAAATCATTCTGATATTGGGCCAAAAACAACTAGTAATTATTCACAGCATCATTGAGGAGGTTGCCATATGTGATACAAATATATTTATTAGTTAGGAATTTTTTCAGGTACAAGTGATAGAAATTCAGTTGAAACCATCTTAAGTAAAAAGAGAATTTATTGATTCCTATGACTGGGTATTCTAAGAGTGGTGCTTCCTTTGTCTTGTGTTGCTGCAAAATGCTGGTTATTTTCAAGTCATTCATATGAAGAACACATGTTGTTCCTAGTTAGAAACCCCAGCAGAAAGAGAATTTCTTGCTCCCAATATCCATACATGAAAGAGTCCTCTTTCCTGTTGTCCATACTGCTCGACCCAACTTGGATCATGTCCATGCAGGTATGTAAGAATGGGTGGTAGAATCCCACGATGATCAAAGCATGTGCAGAGTCACTGAAGTCTATTCTGTTTTGTTTTGAAAGGGATTAGGGGAAAGAAGAAACCATAAGACTGGTCTATTTCAGTGATCTTTATTCTTTAGTTGCAGATTGAAAAACCAAAGATCCAGGGTATTTACCATTGTAGTTCCAAGTTTTGTAGGAAATCCTAGGTTTAAAGATGCTCTCATTGCTGGTGGAAGTGAATGAACTAGGCCCCAAAGCTTCTGCAATCATCTTAAATCACAGGGAGAAACATGGAAGGCAGGGCAATTAAATGTAGAGGAACTGAGTCTTTTGTGACATCATATCACACTATATCATGTCTTGGCTAAAGCGGCTCTTCCTCTGATTTTCTCCATATGTGAGATAATAGATTTCTTTAGTTTTTAAAAGGCACTGTAGATCAGTTATTCTGTTACTAATAAACAAAAACATGGTAAGTAATATAGCAGGACATTTTGAGCCTTAGCCTTCACTAATAGTGTCAAAATCTCCTTTTCTGAGAATTAAAAATTTACTAATCTGGACATATATTCACCTTAATGGTCTTCCTATAATGCCTATTGTTGTTTCTAGAATCTTCCCCTTGTATAGGATATCCACATTTCACTTTTGACTTGACTTGTTGACTTGGTTCTTTCTTCAGAGTCCAATCCAGCTTCTGCAGTATCTCTAACATGGATCTCTTTATTACTATTTAGTGATGATTTGGGCATTTGTATTTTCTCTCCTATTTGATTTATTCCTACTTATTAGCTCTCACATGACTCCAGCATAAATAAATGACCTATCTTCTAGTTTGCTCTTTCTAAGTGACTGAGTTCACCTAGGAACTTGGCATCAGTCCTTCTTCTGTGATTGGGTTTATCAGGGAGCTGATCCTCAGCAAGAGTTTTAAACATTGAAGAATAATGGGAAAGAAGGAACAATTGGTGGGAAAAATAAAAAACAAAGCTTTTTGAATTTATTATTTTCACAATCTTGATCCCATTTGACCCATGTTCTAGTATATTAAACTATGAATAAATTATTTTTGAAGTGTTGCTTGGGTAAAACAGATAAGTCATAGAGAAATCATGGCCTTATACAATTTAGTAGTTAACTACTAGGAAAATAATCTATTAATGATATAGGAAATTAGTTGAAAAACTCACTTTTGGCTGTCTGGTCATTAAATCTGATGCATTCAGCTTTTCTGTACCACAGTGTGCAACTTGGTGATTTTCCCAGGGCTCAAGTCCAAGTGAAGCTCATAGGCTTGTAGGCAAAAAGACCAGAGCACAAATTAGAGTTGTTTCTTATTTATGTTTCCTAAATCTGAGTGAATGCCTTGTTAAAAATGTTAGTCCTAATGTATATATCATATACATTATATCATATATTGTATATCTGCATGCTAATCAGTATTTCAATATATTTTGTATTGATATTTGAGTAGGAGGTGATGAACTTTCCTCTTAATTATTGATTTGGCTATGACATTTCCAGATTGCTTTTTGCCATATCCTCATTTTCTGCAACTGTAAAGTTTGCGTGGACCCAGTGTAAAAATTGCATTACTCATTTAGCTCTGTAGCACATGTTCAGCTTGTTGCATCTGAACTCAATATGGTGCATATTTTTTTTCTGCTTTGCATGTGAATATAATTCAAGATGCTTGTTTTAATTTTAAATGCCTACATGATCTGGCTTCTGACTAGAGAATATTTAAGGTACTTTTCTGATTATCCATATTTATTATTTCCATGGGAGTTCAGAAAAATCACTGAACAGCCAGATTTTTTTCTTTGTAACTTTAGTACATTATATGTTATTTCAATTGCTCTGAGGATACATACTTTATCTCTTAAAAGGTAATCAAAGCTGTTCAACCAGTTGTGTGAAATTGGAAAAGCATAATTAAATTCATTAGTTGCTAAACAGCAAAGATGAGTTTATATTAAGAAAAAGACTTCTAAATGTGTGGATACCTATATTTTGAAAAACACATGTAATAAAAATGACAAATTATGTGGTGAACACCATTCTAAAATATTTAGGTGTATTAATGGACTTGATCCTCCAAAAATAAGTACTCTAATTATTCCATTATGTGGAAGGGGAAACTGAAGCACAGTGAATAAATTGTTCAAGGTCAAGCAGCAAATAAATGTCAGTGTCAGGTTCTAAATCCAAGCAGTCTAGAATCAGAACTTGTATATTTGATCACAAAGAATACTGCTTTCCAGGTAGTTGGACGGATGGATTGGGAAGCAATGGGGCCAGGTGTAAGGGGAGGCAAAGAGTAAGGGTAAGGTTTTAGGTCAAGCTCTACCCACTGCTGGAATTTAGAGCCTAATTGCAGCAAAGGATTTACTAAGAATTTGTGTGTGTGTGTGTGTGTGTGTGTGTGTGTGTAAAAGGTAGGATACAATTTTTGTACCCTTCAGGTTAGAGTGATCTAAGGGTGAAAAGATAGCATTTTCACTGAAAATGAGATACATATTAGCTCACTACTTTCCAACGATACATGCAACATGTCAAATGAAGTAGTCCAATCTCAGAGAACTAAAAAAAAAGGTGAAATCATGAATAATATATCACCTTTATATGTCAACCTCTTTAATGATATATCTTTAGCTTCAGTGATATATCTCATTTTATATAATTTTGTTCTTTTCCTGAGGACTGAAAATAGAAAGCTCAAGTGAGCTAAACAGCTGCTGCTTACGGCCACACCTCTTGATTTCCACTCTTTTTTCAATCTCTAAGTATGAATATCCAACATCTTGTCATTAGTATCAGTATTTGCAATTTTTAAAATTTCATTCTTATTTTTGTACAACAGAAAATTGTATAGTAAATGCTCATTTTTAAAAATAATTTGTACACTCAAACTGTACAAATCAAGATGGTAATGAACACAGAGTCACCATTTAATATTTTGAAGTGGAGCTATATGAAAATAAATAAAAATCCAAATTTGGTATATAAAGGTAATATAATTAATGTTTACAACATATGTAGATAAATAAAATATGTGAATGTCAAGGATCTTATGTATTCATATATACCAGTAACCTCAATGTATCTAATGCTGTTGTGAATTAAAAAACTGTGAAAGTTTTCTAATCTTTGTTGACTTGTTGTTATGTACTGTGTTTGCACCATCATGTTATTTGCAATGAAAACTGCTGTTAGCTTGTGGCCTAGGGACATTGCATAATAATCAGGAAAATTGGACTTCCATATCATTTATACTGAAATGGCTGCTGAGTGACTTACTTTAGTTTTTTTTTGTTTTTGCCTCTGTTTAATCATCTTCAAAATGAGAAGAATATCTATCTAGTCTGTTAATATAAAATGCTGTCAAATTATTATACATTTTAAACTAAAGAGTCTGGGGTCATTTTAAATACTGGAATGAACAGATCGTAATTTTATTTTATAAGTTGTTGATATATTATAGAAATAACACCGAAATCACCTCATTTTCCTCCTTACAAATTAAATTTCTAAATCAGAGGAATCAATAAAGTCAATGACAATATTTCAATGCAAGAAAAACCATTTCAATTACTATGACCATACCTTATATGCTTTTTTCCTTCATGAAAACATTACTGTATTTCTCAAATCAAACCCTGCATGAGAAAGAATCTATTACATCTCAATATAAGGCTCTGACAAATGCTTTTTAAATCTTCATGCCTTACTTAGTTTTGTGTGACACGTGCACATGCATACATATACAATCATTTAAAAACAATGTCTAAATGCACAATGCAATTTTCCCAGATTGGAATGGAAAAATCTAGGTAATTACTTGAACAAACCTATCCCCCCCCTTTTTTTTTTTTACCCTTCCTTACTTTCCTTTCTTGTTTTTTATCATACAGCAAACTTTGTTTTCAGGTCCATACTATTACACCAGAAACTACTCATGCTAGGAAGACCAACAAGGTCCTTACCCTTACAGAGCTTACATCGTGTTGGGAATGGAGGGGCAAGGAAAAAATAAAGCAAAGAAATAAACACAATAAAGTTAGATACTGTTAATATTTTAAAGAGATATTTGAAATTGGTCATAGAGTAGTTTGATATAACAGAGAGTGACTAGTGTGTTGGGTGAGTAGGGAAGTTTTCTATGATGAAGTGATAAAGAAATTATAAGGCAGCTGTGGGAAGAGGGGAAGAAAAATATCAGGACAAACAATTGATGGGAAGTCCCTCAGGTGGAAAAGAAGGTAATTGAGGCTGGAACAAAGTGGATCAGTAGGGAATTAATAGGGCAATTTTATAATTCTATTTCATTATTTAGATTACCAATTGGTAAACATGAATATCTACTGGTATTGACCATAAACCTTCTTTCTTAGCTATATTGGGAAGAGTATGCATTTGGAAGTCACAAAATCAAGGTTTTGAATCTTGGCCTGGCACCTTGTAGCTGGGTGATAAAATCTTAGCCTGTTTTCCCTTCCTTTAAATTTGGACAATGTCATTTAATTTTCAGAATTGTTGCAAAGTCCTGACCTGATATATGCCACATAGTAGCTACTCAGACTGTAGCTATTCATTTTCAAATATTTCAAGCTCTGATGCTTGACAAAGCTATGACCTCATCCATTCATACATGTAGCTTCTCATTCCCTTACTAGATAGTCATCCACTGATTGACAACAACTGTGAAAAAGGCAAAGTGGTAGCTGTCATTCCTTGCTTTAGCAGGCTAGGATATGACAAGGGTCAGGGCTGAGGGATGATCATGAACAAGGTGCCTCCTCTATCAATAAGCAGGATTTGGGACCCTACCAACATAAGGATCCAAGATAAAAACTGGAGTTTTCCCAACCTGCTGGAGGTTTTTCCTCACCAAAAGTGAATAATGAAGAATAATGTGGGTGTTATTCCTGGATTACTGTAGAAGAACATGCTTCAAAGTTATTGAAGCACATTTGGCACTAAATAGTTCTCCCTCTGCCTCTCTATCCTCCCTCCAAAAAACTCGGTCAAGTGAAGAGGGTTTAGAAGCAGATACATGGAAATATGTATTACTGTTAAGAATGATGCTGAGTAAGATGTGCATTTAGAGGGAGCTATGAGAAGAGGGAGGAAAGCAAGGAGGAAGATCACAGAGGATATTACTATTAATACAATAGAATGTCATTTGTCTCCTGACAGGTTTCCATTATAAGGTTTGCATTCACATTTCACCTCTCAGCCAAGTTTTATTTTTAGAATGACAAACAACCCCAGAAGTATTGGGTAAATAATGTTAAGTATTGGCATAGTTTCTTATGAAGTCTCCAAATGGCCTTCCCCTATGCTACAATGCAATTTTCCCAGATTGGAATATAACAGAGAGTGACTGTGTCTTTTTTCAGGTGGAATTTGTGAATCAAGTATGGTATTCTGCCTTTTCATTTTCTCTCTACTGCTTCTTCTTTTCAATGTTACTGAAATAGAAATGATTCTGCTTACGTAGCTGGACATGCTTAGAATATAGGACAGGCTTTGTTACCTTTTTGCCCCTGTAGACAGAATCTATTTGAGCTTGAATCAAGGGTCACAGAATAAAACTAATCAAGAATATAGAGAAACACATGTCCCTATACTCTGGCGGGAGAAACTCAATTCCCTCTGGATTTGTGCCCGGCTCACTAATCCATTCCTTCTCCCTGGACTCCTTTGTGGGCTCCATCTCCGCACGACTCCGCTCACAGTACTAAGGGTCAGGTGTATTTATCCTTCCTCTGTTGCAACAGCCACCTCTATATTGATGCTCCCTAATTTGCTATCTCTGGACAAAAATTTGCTCCTGGTATTAAAACTCACATATCCAAACTTTCTTAATTCCTCCATTTGACCTTCTGCTGATGGCTCCAAGTGTAATAATTTGCTCACTCAAACCTATTTCTGTATTTGCATCTTGTCCAACCGTACTACTTGTCACCTATTTACTCATCCTCGGAGCCTAAAGAGTATCATCGATTCTTCGCTCTCCATTAACTTTCACAGTCTCTCAATTATCAAGTCCTGTCAATACTGTCTTCTGAATTTCCTATAGATCTGTCCTCTACTTTCCATCTGCAATGTAACCGCTGCCTCATTTCAGACAACTGGCAAGCTCACCTGAAATACTGTATAGCTCATAAATGGTCTCCCTTCTTCCATTCTTGTCCTCCTCACCAGTCAGTTATATACACAGCGACCATGTGATCGTTGTCACTTTCCGATTTAAAATCCTCAAAAGATTCATCACTGTGTTCAGTTCAAACCCATACTTTGTTGGCAATGGTACCCAAGGCCCCCTCCAGATGTGGTTCTTAGTAAATGGTTGCCAATCTTCCTGCTGATTTTTCTCCCCCCCTTTCTGCTCCCTCCTCATGTAGGCACCCACCCTGAGATCCAACTACATGATACTTTTGCACTTGCTAGAATCTGCCATTACTTTCATTTATTTATTTATTTATTTATTTATTTATTTATTTATTTATAAGTAATCTCTACACCCAATCCAGGGCTTGAACTCACAATCCCCAGAGATCAAGAGTCACATGCTCTTCTGACATAGACAGCCAGTGCCCTTGCCATTGCTTTCTTATGTTAACTATTTGTACCTGTATATTTGCTGCTGCTTCTGCCTCCACCTTACTCACTCACTCATTTTTTTCATCCTTCAGTATAGACCAGAATTAGATGTCTCTATGTGCTCCTTAGCAACAGAGCAGGGAGTGTTAATTACGAGTGTGACCTTTCACATTCTAGTATGGCTATTGGATGGTCTGTCCTCCCACATGTACTCCTCCTCCTCTCACCCTTTAGACCACGAGGAGTTCAAATCATAGTAACTACTTAATAATATTTGTTAAAAAATAATTGAAAACATGTTTTCTTCACACTGACATGTTATGTAGCTAAATGATGCTATCAGAATAGACGTGGAATACGCTTTTTCTGTCTCCACAGATGAGGCATCTATAAAGTGGGTAGCCTAACTATAGAAAGTTGCTTTTTTCTTTTTAAAATTCATTTTCAAATAGCTTTTACAGGGTAAGTAGACATAATCATTGATAGTTTTGAGAATTTTGTCAAAAAATGATATATGTTACATGCCCATGCTTTTTAGTTTTAGGTAAAAACAAATAAACAAACAAAAACCTCATCATATTCTATGATTCCAACTATGTTCATTATTCACAAGATAATTATCAATAAATTTTTTTTGTTAATAAAATCATTCTTCACTCATGGGAATGAATCCTTTCTTTTTATATTTAAATATTAGCATAATCATCAAAGTACAGAAATCAAAACTTTAAGAATTTTTTTCTTATTGAAAAAAAAGAAGAAACTAGAAGATATTTTCAAAAGTATTCTTCAGAAAAAAAAATTAAATCTAGAGAATCAGTCTTCTTCCTAATCCTCATTCTTGATACTTTCTACTCCATCAGCATAGTAAATCAGAAGATTTTTGGTGAGTACTCTTTTGTTAGTGTGGGACCAAGCCAGTCTATTGCTCTGATCTACACTAGATGTTAATTAAGGGGCTTAAGAAAACCACTGAGTAAGGTGCAAAATTGTGATGTATAGAACCACATTTAAAATTGTTTCTAAAAATCGAGTGCCATGTTATGGTAGAATGAAAGCTTTCATACACACAGAGAGAAAAAGAGTCTATGAAATGGGATATTAAAAGAGTACAGTGAAAAAAGGAAACCAAGATAAAAAGAGTGAGAGAGGAAAATATATTTTACCAGCAGGAAATGACATGGCATGACATAAAAAAAAAAAAAAAAAACAGAATAAAAGTGTAGAAAGACAGGTGAGAGAACTAAAAGTCAAAATTAACAACAAAAAAATAAAATCTGCTTAAAGAAAAATGAAAAGAAAATATAAAGGAGAGCAAAAGGATCTTTCAATTATAAATTTAAGTTTCAGTGCCCAAATATTGTTTTAAGAATGTCAGGATAGTATTTTTTATATTGCATTATTTTTAGAATTTTCTTAAATTTAGAAGTGTAAGATTCTTCACTTTGACAATGTGAAAGCACACAGAACATCAGTGTATCATTACTGCAGTGGTCTCCAACTGGTTTGGCTTGGCACATCACGATAACTTTGTACCATTTGTATCCATAACAGCTGGGCTCTGACACTATTAGCTGAGCAGGATTTTAGTTATTTCTTTAATTTTTTTTCTTTTTAATGCATTTGCTTCCTCCTAAAATGTTATTTGGGCACTTGGAAGCCAAATAATTAAGTCTGTGACAATAAAATAAGGGTGCACGGCCTTTTTTAAAGTAAAATGTTATTGCTTTACTCTCTAACCTCCAGCTACTCAGGAGTCTAACACTCAATAGATAATTTTTTTCTTTTTTAGTGTCTTTTTTTTTTGAGTCTGTTACTGATATTAAATATTTTAGTTTTATGCCAAATGTCTAAAGGCAGACTATTAAAATAAAATATTAACCTGGATTATTAAACAAATAAACTTCATAGAGTTACCGTAATGGCAGATGATAAGCTCCAAAATATAAACCGGATATATTCTCCCCCCACCCCCAAACTAACAATGTAGTGATATAACTTTCTCATTTGGCAAAGTGATTACCAAAGTTCATGCAAAAGAAACATAAACAAATACATAATTCTGGAGCTACAGTAAATGTGAAAAAAATATTAATTTTCTAGGTTTAAAAGCTTTTAATGCGTCTCAACACAGATTTGCTGAGATTTTGCTATTTTGAAGGTACTGCGCTAGAAAGATAAGCCACAGGCAGGGGAGGAGACCAGAATATAATAAATACTAAAAGCAAAATACTCACAGCGGTATGACGTGTTCAAAGGAAGGAAGGCATCATCATTAGCTGGAAGAATCAGGAAATTTAATAAAGGATATGTCATTTGAGGTGGGTCGGATTTGGAATATAGAGAGATAGGGTATGACTATTAATTGTGATTCTTCAAGTTTAGATACTCATCCTATTTTATCTGATATTATCTTTTTGCTGATTTCTTCTTGCATTTCCAACTTTGTGTCTAAACCCTCCACCACGTGAGCTGACTGAGAATTAACCATACTAAATTAACCCCTGTCTCCTGAATAAACCCAACTTTTTTTTTCAAATCACTTTGCCCCCACTCTTACTATTCTCCCTGCTCGCTTCACTGCTTTCTTCCCTCACCTTACATAGGTTGTTGAACGAATATAGAAGGTTTGGTTCACTTTCAACATCTTCCTTGACCCCCCTCCATGAATTAAGTGTGTTATCTCACGGGGACTTCCAAATCTCTTTATCTGTGGTTTGATTACTGTGTCTCATATTAGGCATCAAGATTCCTGAGGGCATGGGGGATGGGTGGTAAAGTCTCTGTGTCTTCAGGCCCAGTGCCTCTCAGGTGGTTAAGTACTGAGTGTCTGCGTATACCCTGATGAAATCAGAGCTTGGCAGAAGACAATCTGCACAAACAGAAATAGGGCTTGTACAGCGGCTGATACTGTAAAACCAACTCTGGACTCTTGGATTCACTTCTTCCTCTGAAAGGGTGGGCCACTAAGAGGGGCATTCCGACGGCTAAGGCCATGCAACCTGGAAGCCCACAGCGCTACTAATAGCAACAGTAATTTAATTGACACTGCTAGTACATAGTCCTCCATGCGTTTCGATGTGCTTTCCCAGCCATCATCTAAATGTTTCTATTCAGCGGCCTAAAGTGGCCCCTTCATTCTTATCCAGAATCCGGGAAACACCTTCCTTTCTTTCAGACTGTGAGAAAAAAAGAAAAAAAAAAAAGGGGCTTTCCTGAGGCTGGGAACGGGGATTCCCTCTCCACGTTCGTGCACTTTCCACCCGGCTTACCCGAGCTGAAGGCGAGCACAGCGAAGGCGCGTGGGGCACCTGGGAACACTCCCGACACTCTGTGGCCCCCGCCTCCGGGAGAAGGGTCTGGAGGCCGGGAATCCGCTAATTAGGCTCGCCCCCATTGGTTGTCCCCAAGGCACCTCCATGCCGTCATGGTGTTATGCTAATGAGGGGGAGTCTCATTGGCTCGGCCCCCGGCGGCAGCTGCGAAGGCTCTGGCGGGGAGAGCCGGGTTGGCCGCAGCTGGGACCAAACCCACGGTCCCCCCTCGCGCCCGCTCCGGGCTGTGCCGCGTGCACGCCCGCGCGGGGACCCGCTGCCGGGATTGCCCTCAGAGGAGGCTCCTCGCCCTGCCTTTTAGGAAAGTGCCTCCCCAGCGCGCGGCGCGCACGCCCCTTCCCCTCTTTCTAGGTACCGCGCGTGTTCGTTTTTTTTTTTTTTTCCGCGAAGTAACTTTTGCATTCCCGCCTCCCCCGAGTCCTGGGGACCAGAGGCGGTGCCGAGCCTGGGGGCGGTTCTTCGGCAGCGTAGATTCTTGTCAGAGCCAGACTTTTGCTCCTGGGCTCGGTTTGCATCATCCCCATCACACCCTCTGGAGAGAGGAGCCAGCCCCCTTTCAGCCTCAGCTTCCGGCACGGAGCCGACCCCTCCCCCTCCCAGGCCCCTTCCCCTTCCCCGTCCTTCTGTGGCCCCCCGCATCTTGTTAGTCTTCTCCCTCCACTCCGCAGAATTTTCTTTCTCTCTCCCTTCTCTCCTCCATTCGTCGTTTTATGTTTTCCACTCTTTGAGGAAGGATGGTTGATTTGGAGAGCGAAGTGCCCCCTCTGCCTCCCAGGTACAGGTTTCGGGATTTGCTGCTAGGGGACCAAGGATGGCAAAACGACGACAGGTGAGTGGTGCGGTGCAGTCTCGCTCTGGCAGCACAGCTGAAAATGAGACAGAGATGGGGAGGCTGAAGGGGGAAAAGGGGAGAAGAAAAAGGAAGCCTGAGACTGGGGGAGGGAGTGAGAGGGACTCTTTGACATGTCTCTCCATTTTGACTGTATAGTGCAATTGCCATAGACAAGGAGCTCTTCCTTTTCATTTTCTTATCCTTGCAAGGCATTTATTGCATTTATTGGGTACTTAACTCTTTTGTCTATCTGCGCTTTCCTAGGGTGTGTATAAGGCTGCTACGAGAGGTACAATACATCCAAATAGCACGCAGTGTTGGTGGCATATAATTTTCATTTTTTCCCTTTAGGTGTTCCTCAAATTTGAAAATGTGTCCAAGTTGATTGAAAAAGCACATAAGAAACTTAAAATCTCTTGCACCTATTTACTTCTTGTCACTGTTGTCTTGTTAAGGTGTTCACCTGCTACTGGGAATTTTATTATGCTCTTTAAACATTTGGAGTTATAGATAGACAATTGGTTTAAATATGTAACAGGTAGTTAGGGAAAATGACCTTGTCAACTGAAAATACTCACTTTGAACCGGTAACTGTGACTGTGATTAGTAATGGTGTTTGTATAGCATGATGCAACCTTTTTGCAGTTAATATATTTTTAACCTAACTAGTATATATGTCACAAGATTAAAACTAAGTTTCAAAACTAGAATGCTTATCACTAGCAAAATATTGCTCATGTGTTTTATCTATAGCATCACTGCTTTGCCTAGTCGAACTTCTGAAATTCCTCCGGCTATCTGATTCATTATCTAAAAGGCACATTATATGTTTCATTGAATTTAGTATTTTCTGGAATAGTCATTTCATGTATCACATGCCATATATTTTTGTTTTTAAATGATCTATGTATACTAACTAGGCTCTTAACTCAATTGAAATATTTCCTTTAAGTTCAGTTTGGTATTAATGTTCTATTTTAATTACATAAAAGATCCATATTGGTCCTATTCAAAAATCTCATCCCCATTCAGCTCTGGGCAATACTCTCCTTCTCTTCCTCACCATTTCAGCTCCAATACCAACTCCTGTGTCTACACACAGAGTATTTTATCTTGGGCATCAATTTTGGACTTCTTCTTTGGTCTCGTATTAGTAATGTAAAGGGGTATGGTTGTTTCTCAGAGGATAATGTTTCAATGCAAACTCTTTTTTAAGGCAGAACACATATATTTGTTAAGAATTAAAAGAACAAATGCCAGTTTACCAGTATGCTTGGAAAAGAAGGTGTTCTGGGTGACTGAAGATAAAGAAATGAATATTTAAACAATTGCAAAGCTAGTTGACATTTAGATAAACTGTATTAGCCTGGTTAAATGGCTTATCAAATGCACCATCATGATTATAGGGATGGAATCTATATTTATTACTTCAGCACCTTAGGATCATTATGTAGAATAGGAATCCTCACTCTAGAAAATGTGAGATGGACTGAATTCACAGAGGATATATTTTGGACTTCGTGGTGATAATATTGTTTGTTTTTTAATATTGTATCTAAGATGTTAATTGTTCTTGAGGTTCCCTTCATTTTTCTAAGGATGCTGCAGTATATTTCAGTAATTAGGAATTTTGGTTAGTTGAATACTACCCAAGTAAGTCACTGCTATATTAAAAAAAGTTTTACACATTTAGTTAAAATATCTATTATAATAAAAGTTTATGCTAGCCCAAGTCTAACTTAAAATCTAGGCCATATTTACTATTAAAATGAGGTATTAAACATTAAAAAAATTGTTCATCCCTTTGACCAATTTTGTGGCTTCATGAGAACTTAATATTTAGTTTTAGTTCCATTTGTTGTCCTTCTTTGAAGGGGGCTGGCTCCTTGGGTTAATAGTGATTCAGCCTTCAGTCCTTTGCTTATTTTCTCACTAGCTGAGTCTTTTTGGGCAAGTCATTTGACCATTATGAAATTCAATAATCTTATTTCTGTAAGGTACAAAACTAACACTTAGTTGGCACTAAGCACTGGCTAATCTAATATGTTAACTACGTTAATGGTGTGTATGTGTGTGTGTGTGTGTGTGTGTGTAAGGGTTTATGTGTGTATGTGTGTGTATTTTAGGAACTAGGGAACTAAGTTTCTGGGAAATTAAATGCTTATCCTGATAATATATCTTATAAGTGCACAGATGACACTTGGGTTCTGTTCTTTGTGACTCAGATTCCTCAAGAAGCTCCTAAGTTCTTTCCATTTAATTTGTTTGAATTTGTAAGAATAATTTTGCAGCATCTAGCACACTTTAGGTGCTCATTTAAATGATAGTTCCCTTCTTCATTTCTGATTAGCAGTTTTCAGTTCTTTTTTAATTTTTTCTTCAGAATTCTAAATTAATATGCAGTAAATAAAGTCATCTCTTTTGTCTTTATTGTGCTCACAAATTCCTCTTTGCAACTGAGCCTGAGTAGCCTTCGTATTCGATTCAGTTATCATGGATTCAATTCCTATGGAGCTGAAGAGAAAGCATTCTTTCATAGAAGAATAGGTAGATGGTTTATACCGACAGATACATTTAGTGCTTTGTCTGTATTCTCTAGGCTATTTTCTATAAATATTCTCTGCCTGAAGTTTTTGTTTTTTGTTTTGTCACCTCCCCCCCCTTCCCACTGCCCCAGTCTCAGGGGATCCCCAGGTCTTGGAGAGCAAGCCAAAAGTGCCACCGAGTAAATGAGTAGATAAGGAATTGTTAGATAAATACCTTAGCTTTCTAACTCCTTGGTTGGGATAATTCTGAAACATGTTGCCCACAGTTGTAATTGGTTTGATTTTACAAGCTTTATTGGCTTTCTCCCACCCTCCCCCTACTGGTATTTTCTGGGATCAGTTCCCAAATAAACTACTTATGCTCCAATCCTTATCTCAAGGTATGCTTCTGGGGGAATCTGAACCAAGATTGGGTATCTTTTCCATTTAGAGTCACATCCTAGAAATGATGGAGGAATCAGCTGATGGGAAAGTAGACACTTTCTACCTTGCTCTTCATGTTAAGAATTTTAAATTCAGGGACGCCTCGGTGGCTCAGTTGGTTAAGCATCTGCCTTCGGCTCAGGTCATGATCCCAATATCCTGGGATCAAGTCCCACATTGGGCTCTTTGCTCAGTGGAGAGCCTGCTTCTCCCTCTTCCCCTCCCCCACTCGTGCTCTCTCTCTCTCACTGACAAATAGAATCTTTAATAAAATAAAATAAAATAAAAAAATAATTTTAAATTAAATCTTAATAGGGCATAATTGACTGGCATGTGAAAATGAGTAAAGCATATGATAGATGTGTGAAGGAGTGTGGTGAAAGAGAGAATTTTGGTCTCTACACCATAGATTTTCTGTGAACTAACCTTCGATAGTTCACTTAAATTTATACTGTATCACCTTTTAGTAGGGAAACACACGTGCTTAAGTGCATATGTAATGTACATGTGACACATGTATGTATAGACTTTGTGTGTATGTGTATGTGTCCATGTCATCTTTACATAATTCCCTCTCCCTGATTTGCATTCTGATAACCTTTTCTGAGTAGCACATAAAGGAACAGAGTTAGACATAGCATTGCAGAGAACTGCACATTTAGCACATGAATAACGTTAGTTCTCTGAGGCCATGAAATAACTGAGAGTTGCTAAATGAGAACACTGCTAATGCCTAGAGATGTCTGTTGCACATATGACTCACATTTATTTCTTTGGCATCCTGAGTAAAACACAAAAATCTAATTCAAGTGGCTCATGAAATATTTCTTAATGGTCATTTATCCATTCAGCTAATATTTGACTACATGCTGCATCTCAGGGCCTTATTAAGTTAGGTTTTAAGAAGAATATAAGGAGGAATGTGAAGCAGTGCTTGGTCAGGAGGTGTTCACAGATAAGATTAGAGATAAGCTCCCCTCCTGAATATTGACAGTATTGTTGATGATGTTTTTGCAGAATTTCAATTTTAAGACTGTCAAGAAGATCATACACCCTTTGTAGATAGGATAGTCAGTATTACTTGAAAATAAAGTAGCTGAACTCTCTATATTAGGGATGGCTCAAAGTATTCTATATATTTTGAATCTAATATTTAGGATACTTAGTATCTTCAAAGTTACTTCATGATTAAAACTAATATGACTAGAGACTAAATGTAACTGGTTTATATGGAAGCCATTCCGTAATATGTAGAATTGTTGCAGCGTTCACATCTATTATTTTGTTTTAATATTTCTATGACTCATAAAACAATAAAGATTTAGGATGTTCTCTTGCAGTTAAGTGTTGGTAAATTTCAAGTTTTAAATACCTTAAAACAGTTAGAACAAGCCTTTCTCATCCTCATCATGACTTAGTAGTTTTAAAGTTTGGAACACAATGCACTTGATGTGGATAAATTGTCATGACTGTTGATAACTTCCTGTTAGTGGACAATTCTCAATTGCAGTCATACAGGAGTAGGGCTTTTATTTAGTTAACACCATTCAGTTTTCAAATATCCGGTCAGTTGTTTCAACTGCAGTAATTTTAAGTGTTATCTTTCATATTTTATAGGTGGCATTTAAAAGTAAAAAAAAAAAAATAAAAAAAATAAAAGTAATGTAAGCAAGTCAAGTAATGCACTGTAGTAATTAAAAACATAAAAGGATTTGAAGAAAGAGTACAATTCAATGAATTAATAGTTTAAGAGGTATTTATAAAATGGTGAAAATGTTTGGATAGCTTTTGGAATATGTGTAATTTTAGATATCATACAATGCAAATATATTAATTTATATAATAAAGTTAAATTGGAAGAATGGGTTTGAAATGGCACATTTATATAATCTACTGATTTTATCTCCCTTAATAAAATTATATATTATTTTGAAAAGTAGCCATTTGATGTCAAGTACTTATTCTAAACTTGTAAGTTCAGGTTGTTAAATACACTTTTAAAATGTTTTGTGTTAGTAAAAAGAATCA